GCAGACTCTCAGGGGAGATGATCTCAATGAAAGACTTGGCAGCCTCCAACAAGGTGTCGCTGGCCATCATGCAGAAGCAGCTGTCTGAGTCGGCAAATGGATATCCCAGGACAGTGTGTGGAAGCTCACGGCATAATGGTTTCTCTGGGGGGGTTGGCGCTCTCGGTATCATGAACAACAGGCTGGCAGAGACAAGTAACTCCAGGTAGAGGACACAATAAGTGTTGGAGCTCTTGATTCTCAAACTGTCTAACAATCCCTGAGGTTGATCGCCATAGAAAAAATACATTTGAGATGGATTGCCAATGTTACTTGTCATGCATGATACATATGATTTTTTTGGACACTTTTGGTTGGAATTACAAGCCTATGGTGATGATGCAGGTAATGACGGTGGTGTTTTCAGTGATAATTTGATGATGAAGGCATGAAGAGAGAACCACAGAGTCAACAAATAAGCATACGATGATCTGGGGACCTCCCATTGACCATTATGTTAACCTCAAACCAAACCCAGAACAAATCACTGACATGTCAGTGTTAAATGCTGAGGTCTGCTATATGTGCTCAATATATCAGACCTTGACAACTGAAATGTTGTGCAGTAAAGGAGCCAAGGGAAGCATACAGTGCAATCTTCATTATTTTGGGATTTTGCCAGTTTCTTTGAATGTACATATTGAATGCTGATATAAACATGACACGTGTATCCACTGAATGACATAGCACATACTGATCTATGCATTTTACTGCTCATGCATTTTTTGCACCATTTCTAGACCTTCCATTGATTGTGCAAACTCCATTTCTTTCTTGACCCAAGTCAAGTTTTACCCTCAGGTGATTGATTCCATTTCTGGGGGCGAGCGTGGAAAGTGGAGTTCAGCTAGGCACGACTGTGATGTAGTTGATTTGTCAATGCTGTTCGGAAGGGGAATTTACAGTGCCACTAACGGCCTATAAAGAGTAATTTCCGAAAGATGGAGAAAAGAGCACAGTTGAAAAATGAAAATTCATTCCTGGTGAGAGAGGAGCTGTCCTTATCAGCACAGAAAAATGCTTCTGCGGCCAAAGACTTTGACTTGAAGGGTAAAAGAAAGCACCATGCAACTCTTTCTTTCTCTTCTTTTTTAAGCTTAAAGCTGTCTGCTAGGAAAATAAGTGATAAAGGCTGGCAATGTATTAATTACCCTTTGAATGCAGAATGTATGTATTCTGTTTTTGTAAAAACAGAATAAATGAGAAGTAAGTTTGTGTTTGTTTGAAGTAAAAGATAAGAGAGGGGGAAAGAGAGGGAACAAGTGGATGGTTTTATCCTGTGGGCAAATTACGTTAAACGATGCAGATTAAAGGAGGCCAGGTCAAGCTGTTCAGAAGCTGGAGAGGAAAACAAAACCATAAGAATACTCTGGCTTGCATTGATTTTTAAATAGAGATTTCCTGTTTTCAGATAAAGATTCTCTCTGTGAACTTGATCCAAAAGTCTGCAAAGGTTGATTTTCCTCACTTTCGGTGTGGACGACATGTAATGATGGAGGATGTTGGACGAGGATGCAGTACTCAGTCAGTCTTTGCGATCAATGTCCTAGTTGCTGGCAACTATCTCTTCCAAGTCATCTGTGATTTAAAGCTGCGTAATGTTTGTTTGATGTCAGGAAACAGCAAGGCAGAGGAGACGTTGATAGTTAACCTGTCCGGGAGGCGATGATGAAGTAACAAAAACTCGAGAGGGGGGCCATTGACAGCAATAGAAATGAAGGAGTTTAAAATTCATATTCAATCCAAATACACGCCCTCTCAGCCAAAGGCTTCTCTTTCCTTTGCATCAATTTTCAACATATAATATCCTCCCAGGCCACTCACCTCTTTTTTGTGTCATCTCTGCATTCACCAAAACCTTTTACCTCCTATTTCCCGCACATCTCAGCTCTCCCGTCACGCTCATCACCCTTGCACCGTGAATACTACAATGAGACATGCCATAGTATATCATATAATGTCTTAAAAAGTCCTTTTACAATAATACGTGAATTGGATCTGGGTCTATCCTTGATTGATTTTCATCCTGGTTTTGCATAGATCTGAATAATTTATTTTACCCCCCAGTGACACTTAGAACAATAGAGAAAATGACTCAGGTAGATATATTCAGGCTTGTCTTAGTGTTTCCCGCATGCCATTATGGTAAAGCCATACAAGATAGCTGTATATAAAACAGAGTCTTTGAAGTATATTTTTTTACATATAGCTTTCAGATATCTACAGGTGAATGATTGAATAAGTCACCGTCTCATGTCTTTAACACAGTCGGTCAGCAGATTGATACACCATAGAGAACTTAACTACCCACTAAAAACATGGATACAAGGGTTACAATGTGAACACAGGTTGTCCAGATACTAAAGAGTAGATTGATATGTTGGGAAAATGGCATATTGGTATTCACTTTCTTGCGTAAAGTTAGATGAGAAGATTGATATCACTCACACCTGTAAGGGGAAATATGTAGCTGGTTAGCTTAGCATAGCATACAGACTGGGACTAGCTAGTTGTGAGTAGTTCTTAATGTGATGTGTCTTTGTTGATATAACAGCTACATTTGAGAGCTTTGGAGATGCTATAGTAGTTGAAATGTTGTTACCTTTAGACACATCTAGGCTGGTTCCCCTTTCCCAGTTTTTAAACAAAGCAAAACTAGCGCTGCTATGCTTACTTGACTTTATGGACTTCCTGGAGTCTTTACAAGATCATTTTAGAGATGTAAAATTAATTAGAGAGCTTTCCAGCCATGCTAGCCGTTTCCCCCATTTTCTGGAATGTATCCAATGCTAAGCTAATAAGCTATATCTTCAAGGCTCTACCAGTCCACATGTCTAGCTGACTAATTACTACATTACATTTTATTTGTTTCATTTCAATAAAATAAAAAAGAGCAGGTAGCCAAGGTTGAAATAAAAAATATGTTTTATGACTAGCTTTCCCCCCTTTTCCTGTCAGCCAACAACCTTCAGTGCTGTATTATAAAGACAAAGTAGAAATGACAAATACTTGAGGCTTCCAGATGTATACAAGCTGTAGGCATGTGAGAATGGTAACTCTTAGCAAGAATGTATTTCCCAAAATGTCAATTTATCACTATTATATTTAAAAGCTCCCGACAGAGTAGCTCATGAGCAGCTCATGAGCTCACTGTGTGTTGGTGATGTGATGTGAAGTGGGGTTCATGTGTTGCCCGACTCTCTTGCAGGCAAATAGAAAGTGCCAATCCCTGGGACATTTGAGAAGGAGTATGGCATGCTGTAGCAAATGACATACTGTAGAATGAATTCAATGCTGTTCCCCTGTTGTAATATGTTACGGGGGACGTGTTGCTGGCACTTCTCTATATTGATTCCTGAATGATGTACTGTATGTTAACCTTCATTTCCCCTCTGAGCCTTGAGGTTATAATGGAAGATGTTTCAGGTTTGCTCAAATATTTGTTAAAGCCCCTGTAGTCCTTAGGGTCTAGCCAGCTGCATTGTATCCTTTAACCTACCCTTGACAAGGAGCATGTGTGTATGTATGCATTTGTGTTCCCACCTGCTGTGTAAAGGACTGGAAATTAGAATTAAATGAATGTGATATGTTATCTTAAATGCTTCCCTAGAGTCCCCCAGAAGGTATTCAACTTATAATATGATCAATAAAATGTTTATTTACTTAAGCCTAAAACACATCAATCTTTAAAGAAACTGAATATAATATATAGAGTAATGTTTTCTCACCTAAAATGCATGTGTGGCTTGAAATAAATTGCCTTACTTTAGTGCTTACTACAAAAAGACTCCATATTGAAAAGATTATAGTGTGCAGAACTTGTGTTGTACTATACAATCATTTTCCATTTAGCGAAATTGATCTCCATCGATTGCAATGGTTTAAACCTCTGCCCTCTGTATCCTCTGAGGAGGCAGGTGGTCTTAGGATTTGCTATTTGTTATCAGGACAAATGCCTCTAAAATGTGAAATCAATGACTATTCTGTTAAAGTATAATTAATTCCTGTCCCGTTCTTGTCAAAAACCAAATTAGGTTTAAACAATGCAAAATGTCCAAGCCCACACTATTAGTAGTTAATATGGGTGAACATAGCAGACTTGGATCACAGCGCTGCATGATTTGCAGAACAAGTTATGTAAACGGTCATTTAATCTCTATTCTCACTAGCAGTGTTTATTCCAGTCAACACATATCGTACATTATACACGCACGAAGATCTACCCTGTAGTCAACAACACTTTGACTGTAAAATAGGCCGATTAAAATGTCATGCTCCATAGCCATTACAAGGCCCATAATAAAACAGTTTGTTTGAAATAAGCAGAGACTGGTGATGTTTTTAGTGTTGATTTTGAAGGCTGTCGATGGTGCTAAGGCATTATCATTTATTCAGCAAAGCTTCTTTGTGATCACATTATGGTACATAACACTGTGCTCGCTCCAGTGTCCTCTGAAGAAGAGTGCATGAATGCTTTTGTATTTAGAGACTGTTAAAGCTGCTAGTTTCAGCAACAAAGTGTATTTAAATTAATTTGGCTGGAGCACAAGTGGTAAACAGCTGAGCGGTTTGGAAACAGAATGATGTATTACTGCTCTGCTTGGCTGCTCTTGATCTTGAACAAGAGTCAAATTATTGGCCATGATCTGGAGCTTGTTTTCCAAATTAGCAGGATGTGTGCTCGATGTTTTTTTTAATGAAGACTGATGGTATGGAGCCACAAACTACATTCAGATCTTAATATGAAAGATTCTTCAAGGTGTCTGTGGTCCACAGTAATGCTGACCTTCGGGTTTATCAAAAATAATTAAACACCTTGTTGTGTGTCTTATGTTGCTTGCATCGTAGTGTAACATCCAGTTAATGTATGCAAATTCATTCTGTTTGCAAGTTGCACATTTATACAAATGATTGTACTTTTATATTTATGTAAATAAAAGTAAAACCTATATGAAACAAAAGGGGTTCCATTCAACTCTGATATTTATTGATATGATTTCCTAATTAAATTGTTTGAGGATTATATAAATGCCAATATATATTCTGGTACATATACTCTGTATGTCCTTTTTACTCTTTTTCATTTTGGAGGATTTACCAAAGAAGAAGTAACATGTTAATTAGTGAGCGTTAGAGCTGCTGCTGCTGGCAGATGGATTTTATTTCATTCAGACAGAGCAAGTCTAGCTCTACCCTTATATACAAATGAATTGGCTGCTGGCTGTAAATTCACATTAAAAACACAAACCTTGAGAGTAATACATCTTGTTAGCTCTTTATAAAATACGAATGTAAGTGTATTCCCCTTATTTTGTAATATGTATTTATCAAGGAATCAAACAGGTTTCACAACCTAAAATGTGTTTTTATCTAATAACTGTTAACAGATCTATATAACTTGAATTCATTTCAATAAATCCAAAAGTAACCTCCTGTCAGGCCTCAATAAAAGGTGGCATATTAGAGACTAGGATGGTGGTATCAAATGTGGTATTATCATGGTAGCAATGTGAAAAGTCACAACTTTGCAATGCTGCAGTTCAGCTGCAAAACAAACTAAAAGGCCAACCCTCACTTCTGTCTCAACAGCAAATGTCATCTTTGATTTTGCACTGACCTGCTGTGTCTCTGCGTCATAATTCCAAGCAAAGAGAAACAAAGGTTAGGGTTCATTTTGCCTTTCATTAAAAGCTCTTTCTGATGGCGTTCACAACTGCTCAATTAACTGTTGGTTAAAGGTGGTCCATAGAATGTATGGTAAATTAGCTCATCTTCACTGGCCCATGTTCATTTCAGTTATTATTCTACCAGAGCACATGCAGCTTGCTGAAAGGACCTTGAAACAGCGTGGCTTTTCAGTAATGGGTCGATCAGGATGCTAGTCATAAACAGGACCTGTAATTGCATTCATTATTAAAATTAGTCTGATCACAGCTAATTATGCTGAAAAACAACATACATTATCTCACTGCACTGGGGTTAAAAGGAGTCTGTGTGGAGGAAATGTGCCACAAGGTCTGTGCTCATCAGTCATTTTCTATTTAGCAAGAAGCCGGGTTCATCCCGTTATTAGGGACATTAAACACTGCAATATTGTTGGAAAAATTAACACTATCCTAGAATTACTGTCCTTCCCTTATGTTGGACTATTTGATCACTAGAGCTTTTGTTTTCTAAATATCTGCATGTTGCCGGACTTGTAAAAATCGAACATCCTGTGTTTCCCACAAGAGAAATAAAACAAATACATATTTACTGCAATGTAACCTTATTCAGCATGGACACATAAAATAAATCCCTGCAAGGCATATAAATAATCCTCCCTGTCACACAGGTACAGTGTGGATATCATGATTATCCCTTAGGGAGACAGGACTGCAGTTAAACCTCCAGCAGGAAGAAGTTTCCTTCCTTCACTGCGGCAGAAATCATGTTTGATGTGTGCCTCACCTCTCTGCTAACTCACACTGTTAGTTTTAAGACAACAAAACATGAACAAAACAACTGTAATCAGATACATGTATTTCTGGGAACTGAGAAATAGATTTAGAATTGGACTCTACTTCCCTATCCCTAATTTATCTTCATTTTAAGATTGTCACAAGTGATTTGGTTTACCAGCTGTTGACAATATACTCTACTTGAAACCCTTGTCAAATGAATTACTTTGTCCAATCAGTCTTGAAAGACGAGTACCGTGACAGGCAGGTCTTTAGACCCATTCAAATTATAGTCTTTAAGTTTTGATAAATTGAGAATAATAAACTTACATTGCCCTTTCATCAGAAATAACACAGCTAATATCTTTCAAGTTTTTTTATTTGGTTGATGCTCAACTGGAGTCATTAAAATGTTTCTCAGAATTTACATCTACATTCAGATCTTAGGAGATGAAAATAAATATCAAGCTGTGGCTGCATTAGATGTTCTCTGAATTAATTTCTCTCTCCATGTTAAAAAAATTATAGCTGAGCCGCGGCCTGACAAAAAATAGATAATGTTTTAAAATGGCTCATTATATTGATTGACCCTTTGAAATAACTGATGGATGAACGAAGGACTCTTGAAATATTGACGAAGAACTGACCTATAACTCTTAAGTGTAAAGCTGTCATCATTATATATTTAGCCTTTCAATAACCACTTTAATTGCTTTCAATATCCCAAGGCTCTTTACTCAAATCCATCCTGGAACAGTAATACATTTAGTCACATTAAGGATAACTTTCAATCCAGCAAACATGCCTTTCATGTCGAGTGGCCACTGTTTCATCAATCTATTCAGAATGCACATGGGGAAGTCTGTGAAATAGTCTGCAGAGCTGTAATAGTATCTGAAGAGACCATGAGCATAGCTGAATTAAAGGCAGAGTGTGCGAATCAGAAGTCATTGTGGAAACGAGACATTTACATGTAGAGGGGCTGCCTGAGTGATGAGGCAATTACCTTATAACATCTGCTCTTTCAATTACCATGAGAGGAGCGATCGAGAGAGGGGTTAATAGATAAAGGGAAACTCAGCATTTCAGCTAATGAAGTTTAATATGATCTTTTCCTCAGATTAGAACACAGCAGTGTTTACTATTGCAGAAATTCTTCATTGTCAGCTTGCTTTAACGCAATAAACCGCACAGTTCACATCAGATAAAGTTCATAATCAAGCGGGAGGAGAGAGGAAAACATTGTAGCTTTCAAGTCCTCTGTGAATCCTATTGAGAGGAGATAAAAAGCAAATATAAAAACGTGGAAAAAGATAGGTCCAGATTCTGCACCTCTATATGTGCACCAGAATAGTGTTTTTACTGCATTCCCTGTTCACATATAAATAAATTAAACAAGCTTAATACATATAATTATTGGATTAGTCCTTTAAATCGCTGTGAAATGAGCCCTAGTTACCCTATTACCCTACACTGGTCAAACTGGAATCAGGGAGAGTTAATATCACACACTGATTAAAATAATTAAAACTTTTTAAGAAAAACGTTAAAGCTTAAACTTCATGTGGTTCATATGCTTACATCAAAAAGCAGTTGACTTTTGAGTTTCCAGTAAAACCAATATTTCACCTCTGAGTGTCAGCATTACAATTGTATTTAGCCTATGCAAATTCCTACAGGCATGGAGATTTGTATTCTCAAATGATACTGTTTTGGCATATGTCAGTGCGCCGCTGTACAGCAGGTGCAGATTGTTTTAGAAAATGCAGGCCAAATATGTAGTGTAAAAGATATCTTCCTGCCAGAAGGGAAGGCTTAGAGATAGTTGGGTGGTTACAATTGAATTGTTTAGAATATATGAAATGTGTAATGTGAAAGTGGCCCATCATAGTGGCAATCCACACAGATGATTTACACCCTGCAGCATTTTAGCTCCTTTCAGCTCATTGTTTGGGTTTTTCAGCCAAACTCAAATGTGAACCTGCCAAGTCAAAAGCTGTAATGGAAAAGCTGCAAACCAATACAATCCTTGCACCTATCAGGAGACGGACACAATTAACAATCATTTAGTAAAATAGAAGAGGATTTATCAGCTACAGAGTGACATTTTACTCACAGAACAACAAAACAGGGCTAAAAGGGAGCAATTCAAACTCCAAATGAATAATAATCTTGTTCCATATATGACATAAATTGTGTGTAAACCACATGGACGGCATGATGTGTCAGTGTTGTAAACACAGCTTGTTCCAGCTGCCCCAAATGACCAAATCAAAAGTTATTGCAGGTTGTAGTAAAGTATACCCTTCAGCCCTGAAGTTCTTCAGGTTCCAGATATTACCTATTAGCAATTTCCCAATGCAGCACTCTAATGTTGTAATAACAATAACGACAATTAATAAACACGTTTTTAGTTAGATCAGATGGGATCGTGTATAAAATGAATGTTTGCACAGACAGCTACACGAACAAGGTATTGTAAATTAATTAGTAGCACATTACCAATACTAAGTGTATGTATAAAACGTTTTTTTAAAGACAAAGGAGGATAAATGGCAACGTTTCTCTTTATTTATAAGGTGTTTTTACTCATTGGACAGGCAAAGAAAACCCATCGCTATGATGGACAGTAAACCATTTCTACATATTTTTGGGTGAACAAAAGAAAGTGGATTCAAGAAATAAGGGTGGTGAAATGAGTTTTGAATTGCAAATAAGTGCAACTTGGGTGCATCCCAAGGAGTGCAGACATTATAGAGATGATGGAGGTAATGTCTTTGGTTTGTTTATGGTCAGATTTTGCATATTTTATTTGTGTGGGTGCTCCAAATAACCTTGTTTGCAAAAACTCAGTGACTAAATGCATCTAAATATAGGCATAATTGCTCATACTGCACCATTGGGAGGACAATATTGTACATTGCAATATCTTTCTCAATCCTTCTTCTCTCTTGTTTTCCCATTTTCATCTACACAAATACTCTCATTTTCCCTCTGTCTAGAGAAATAGATACCGCAATTCTGCAGTTGCCGTTAAATCTGCTGACTGCTCTATCACTCCACAACCAGGGACTTCCCCCACTCCAGCTACTCCAGTAAATGAGACTGAACCTTACATTTTTATAGTATTTCAATAAGGGTCAGTGGCAAAACAGAGCAGTGAAAGGATGGGAAAATAACGGATTGCAAGAGGAATCTTTGGTTGTGATAGGGGGGAAAAATAAAAAAGGAAACCCTGTGATCATAGAGTCTTTCTGATGGTGGTGTAAAGTAACAATCAAAGAGATGAGATGAGAGGGGAAAAGGAAGGGAGAGAACTTGAGAAGAAGGGCTGAGCTATTATTTCATGTCGTCTCTTTACAGTCTCAGCAGTGCTTAGGGAATCACTCTGTACATGAGCCTGTGTGCACTCCTCATTATGCTAAGAGGAGTCCCATGCTGGCTTTTGAATAGCACTGCATGTTTCAGGAGATGTTGGAGGGGAGGAAAGATAAAGACAACAGGTATGGTGATGGTGGTAC